ATACCATTTAATTCTATTCTATTCCACCCAATAGCCAGAGTCCTCTGTTTTGAGCTGATTCAGAGCCCAGCCAATAGCAAACCCTAATGTCTCTCAAAGCATGGGAAACATTCAATTCTATACATTCTCACTTTCTCCAAAAGTGCTTATTACAGTGCATTTATGTCAGGTTTATTTCCAATTAGAGATGTTTTGTTTCTGTAAAGAATTCCTGTGCAAGTGTACTGATTGCACAGAGCCTGCAAATAAGTAGCAGTTGAAAGGAGCAAAAAACAAAAGCCAGAATAAAACACACCGTAAAGCCAGGTGTGGCAGGAAAAGTGCTTGTAATCAGATGGGCAAGATCCAGGTTCATGCAGATGTTGACACCCTAAGAGGACAGGTTCCGAAGGTCAGCACCCAGAAATTCATGGTTCAATATAGTATGGAAGCAATGCGTGAGATTCATTGAGCTCTATAAAACAGACTCTTGCATAACTTTTTGGATTGCCTTGTTCACTCTCAGCCAACTGAGCCACACGGGAGACAGTAATACTAACCTAATTTACAAAGTCGTCATGATGTTTATTGAGATAGTGTGTGTGAGAACCTTGGGCATATTAAATGACCATCTAAGTGCTAGGTGTTGCTGATTGCTGTTATGAATAGAGAGGACTATGGGCCGATGCGCTGCACCCATTTCCTTCTAGAAAACCAAAATCCATTTGCAAGTGATATCGTAAGGCTGAGATGTTTACTTCTCAGTACCGGCTCTCTGGAATATTTCACTCGAACAAAGGAACTTCAGTACCAGCAAGGTTTTTAATGGCACCCCGTCTTTTAAATTTTCATTGCATTCAGTGCTATAGCTATAAGAGGAAAGAAAAGTCGCCAAAGAGGCCAGCCTGTGTGAAAAATTTTGAATGACTGTTGTTCATAGCAGAAATAGCCGGGCTTGTTTTAGTAAGGTAGAGCCTCAAGAAAGGAAAAAAGGAAGACATCCAGAGCTGACCAGTTCATGAAAGTTTGGGAGAGGGCAGGTATTGTCCTGGTCTGCATGACTGTGGCAGCCCACCATGGCTCGTTCATTCATTTATTTAAAACGTTTGTATGCCATCCCATCGCAAACGTCTCGGGATGGTTTACAACACCACCAACAAAAATAGAATACAGATAAAAGGAGGAGTAGCTCAGCATCCAGTATAGGTGTAAAACCACAGATTAAAACAAATTAGCCATTAAAATAGTGGGGGAATAAAAAGGGTTTTGCCTGGGGCCAAAAGGAAAGAGGTGTTGGCGCCAGGCTAAGCTCTCTGGGAAGTGTGTTCCACAGTCGGGGCGCCACCGCAGAGAAGGCCCTGCTCTGGGTAGCCACCCTCCTAATTTCTTTCAAGAAGAGCTCCCAGAGGAGGATCTCTGCCTCATTTAAGCCATGGTGGCTTGCGATGGATGCTGGCAGCCATTGGGAATATTCAGACTACAACAGGTGGGCATCACTTGTCATGATGCCCAGTGCTGGCACAGGTTGGTTGTCGCCATGGTTGATAAATCACCCCTCAAGGAAAAACAGCCCGTGGTTCTTTGGGGTGATTGGTTAACCATGGTGACAATATACCTCACCAGGTTCAGACCTCACAGCAAGCTGATGTGGTCAATCACCATGGCTTGAATATCTGGAGCGGACCGTCGGCACATGCTGAGACCCAACATGCTGCAATGAACATGCAAATCCATCCTGCCAGGAATAGTACGTGATGGCAGCAAGTCGCAGACAAATGAATAATTGCTGGACAATGCGAAATGATTGCAGGGAGCAGGTGGTCAGAATCATTGGAACTGTTCCTCCTGCAAGTATTTGATTCCTTGATGGTTGGTTGGGACTTCAGGCTGCCACGTGTAGTGTTGGAACAACATGGCACGGTTCTGAATGCAAACACACTCGCTTTCATGTCAGTAAGCGCTGCATTTTTCTCTCCCAGGAAAAAACAACAAGTCAGCTCGTGAAGGTCGTCTCGCAGAAAGAGCCCTCCCAGAACAAGCTCTTATCATGGCTGTGAACTCCCTTTTCTCCTCTGTGGTGAGTAGAAATTGATTCCTCGGGGGGGAAAAAATGCTTCTCACCAGTGCAACAAAAGATTAAGGCTGAAATTTTATGCACCGGGAAGTCAGGCTCACTGAACTCAGTGTAGCTTATTTCTGACCAGACAAGTCTGGGATTAACTGTAAAACATTTTAGAGCAGGCATTTTAACTGTTTCATTTATTTATTTTAACTGAAGGAGTGCTTATGTCCATATATGCCCACCCGCCCCCTGAGATCTGCAGGAGAGGCCCTTCTCTGGGAACCCTCCGTGAAGGAAATTAGGAGGGTAGGTACTCGGAGGAGGGCTTTCTCTGCAGTGGCGCCCAATCTATGGAATGCGCTTCCCAGAGAGGTCCGCCTGGTGCCGTCGTTATTTGTTTTCAAATGTCATTTTAACTGTTAATACTATTTATTTATTTTATTCTTTGGCCAGGGTGACTGATTTTATTTTATATTGTTAACTAGTTTTATATTTTATTGTATTATATTTTAATTGATATCTTTGTGAGCCACCCCGAGGCTTTGGTGAATGGGGCGGCATAGAAATTTTCTAAATAAATAAATAAATAAATTGCTCATCTAGCTCTCCATGACGCCACACCTGTGATAAAAGAGTCCCTGCCAGCCGGCCACGCCCTGGCCCGAGTTTTATCAGCCTCTGAGCAAGGCAATTATTCCATTCCCTTCTTTCAGATTTCTAGTATTTCCTTTCACTAACTTTCACCTTTCTGTAACTCTTGGTGGTCACTGGGTATGCTCAGCCCTCATTGCTTTTCCCCCATTGTAGGGATGTCTTGGGGCTTTTGTTGCCCATAACTAAGCCTAGGAGAGACCTGTCACTTATGGAGGATGATGGAGGAAAAGAATGGCCCAGGATGTCCATCTCAGCACCATTTTTCTTTTGGTTGGTTTTATTTCACTTGGACCTTTCCAGAGGATTCATTCATTTTGCTTTCCCATGTGTACAGAATCGCTTTCACTTAGGGATGCAATAATAACATGAAGAAAAAGAATCTCTGCCCAGAAAGAAAGTTCAGTAGTAACATTAACATTTGGTGAACAAGTGGAAATTAAAGGCCTTTCCCAGTTTGTACTGGATCTGCTGTGCTTGCTCCCCTTTCTGAACCAAAGCAAGTCATAAATTTTGTATGCCGAATGGATTACTTAAGTAAATTTGCACAGTTCATCAAAACTGCTTGCAGGAAGGAAGACAACAGTTGGGAACAGGAGGCTATAGAAGTGAGGGAAGAAAGGAGCTATAAGAAGAAAAGACACAAATCATCCATATGGTTCTATTATAAAAATGCCATCTTTAATATGCCACCTTTTTCTGTGGGGAAATTCAGTTTTATTTTTAGCATAAGAAATAAGGCCATTTATTATTGGTCACTTTTATGCGGTGCATCAAGTATTAACAAGTCTAATCTGTCTTCCTGAGATAGGATACTTCATAGTGAAAGGATTTCTGATGGATGCTTGTCCAGTTTTTTCCTTAAACCTAGGAAGGAAGGTTCCAAATAGAAAGTTTGTCCCATTGGTGAACAACTATTTCAGTTTTCTTAATTGTTTGTTGGAGTTAGAAATGGCCAGAAGGGCTTTAGGGACTGGCTCGCTGTTTGAATTGAAAATAATATGACAGATGGTTGCCTATGGTATACAAACATTTTTTTTCTGTCCCACTGTTGCCTCTAGTCACAGATTTCTGAGAGATGGAGAATGCCTTTTTGAATCAAGAGGAACTGAATGGGTACACACATACGGAGGAACACTCCAGAATGAAGGAGGGGGGTTATTGGGCACTGTATTTGAGGTGTCCAACCCCAAATCCATTTTGAGTCCAAAATCTAGTCTGGATTCTGGGCTGGATGAGCTTCAGGTGCCTTGCTGAAGTCATCTTCAGCCTATGAATGAAAGCCCTCTTATGCCTAGCATCCCTCCTTAGCAGTTCTAAATTCAAGGCCGTGGCTTCCTTGACGGAGTCAATCCAGCTCTTCTTTGGTCTTCCTTTTCTTCTGCTGCCTTCAACTTTCCCTAGCATGAATGTCTTCTCCAGGGAGTCTTGCCTTCTCATGAGTCTTCTAAGTGCAAAGATGACATTGTTGCCATGATCTGGGCATGGAGCCCAAGACACTGCTGTAGCTTTCAGGCTGCAAATAAAGCCCTCCCCATAGGCACTACCTCTGTGGTTAATGAGATGATATTGTCACGTGCCCAGGCTTAGATGCTTGATCCAAACCCAGTTCAGACCCTGAATTTTGCAGACATCCATCAAGAGGACAACTAGCAAATTAATCTGATTAACTCTGGATTACTTCTATTGGAGATAGGGCTGGCAAGAACGCTCATTCCTAGCAATGTTGCGTCTACCATCTGCTTTTAACTCTCTAACTGCAGTCCTCTATCTGTTCTGCCGGCGACACAGATACATGACTAGTGGTTTTTAAAAGCTGTTTCTTATGATATCTGTGCTCTAAATCTTTAGTCACCTTGAACACTCATTTGGAAGGTTGCTAATAGAGCATTCTTCCTAAATCTGGGGCTACAGTTTCCATCATGTCTGACCTTTGCTCATCCTGGGCTGGAACAGACGGGCTTTGTAGCCTGAGCCATCTGGAGAGAACCAGATTAGGGAAGGTTGTCTGTCTATCCCACGAATGAGCAAAGGATAGCCCAAGAATTCCCTATAAAAAGGGAATCTATTCTCTGCATCCCAGCTGCAGAATTCCCTCCTGCATCACTTTTTCTATTACTGCCACCCCCACACGGCCTACTGCAAGCACTGTTCACGATGGGATGGCAGCTTTAGTTGGTGCTGCTTACACTAAGTATTCGGACGGAGAAATAGTGACACTATGCTGGTGGGAAATGCTTGAGTAAAACGAATGGGCTCTGCCATTATCACAGAATCCCTGTGCCCTTGGTGAACCTTTAAAATCAGACACAAAGATGCTAGGGGTTGCTCTTGTCATGTGGTACTACATCTCTTGTGTGTGCTGTCTACTTAAGGTTAAAGGTAAAGGTAAAGGTTTCCCCTTGACATTGAGTCCAGTCATGCCTGACTCTAGGGGGCGGTGCTCCTCTCCGTTTCCTAGCCGAGGGAGCCAGCGTTTGTCCACAGACAGTCTCCGTGGCCATGTGGCCGGCATGACTAATCACCCAAGTGCACGGAACGCTGTTACCTGCCCACTGAAGCGGTGCCTTTTTATCTACTTGCATTTGCATGCTTTTGAACTGCAAGGTTGGCAGGGGCTGGGACGGAGCAACGGGAACTCACCCCGTTGTGCAGATTCGAACCGGTGACCTTTCTATCAACCAGCCCAGCAGCACAGCCGTTTAAACCACTGCATTTATATCAAAACAAGCAGAATTCTAAAGTTTAAGAACTTGAAGGCAAAGTCCCAGTGGTTCTGGACCTCTTTCCTTTTTATGACTGGTCAGTGTTCCAGACATAATTTCAGAGTAAGTGGAAGTGCTGAATGAAAGTCACTGTGGTGTCACGATTAAGGGTGTTGGACTGGGACCCGGGAAACGTGGGTTCTAGTCCCTGCTCACTGGGTGACTTTGGTCCAGTTGTTGTTGTTGTGAGGAAAAAATGGAGTGGAGGTGAACTTTGTAAGCTGCCTTGAGTTCTTTCCAAGAGATAGAAAGGTGGGATATAAATGCAACCACCACCACACACGGAAGAGCAAGACATTAGAAAAACAACTGCGAGTCCTTTGCTTCCTGTAACTCTTCTGTGTTGCTTGCAAAGCAAATTGTATTTGACAAGGCTGTTTCTCACAGATTAGCAATGGTTAGATTAATCTGTCCTTACATGGTACCATTTAATCCAGCACTGCTGTTTGGTAGACTGCAGAGAACAAGATAAGCACAACTACCAGCTCTTTTTCCTGCTCTCTGAAGCAGGAGACGTTAACAGTGCTAAACACACTTCAGCTCCCTTGATCCTGTATTGAACCGCCATGTATGCAATTTAAGGGTTGTGAATAGTAATACCAGTGCATCTTCAAGTCTATAAATTTGGCTATCCCTCTATCCATCCATCCACTCACCCACCCATCTAATGTAGGTTTGAGGATAGCTGCATTTTGCAAGACATATAATTATGTATATTTATTAGATTTCTATCCTGTCTTTTTTCTTACAAAGAACACAAAAGCAGCTCACATCATTCTCCTCCTGCTGCTCTCAATCTTACCCCCACAACAACAGCCTGGCGAGGTAGGCTGGACTGAGCACAAGTTTTTCAAGAAAAGATAGGTATGAACTAGACATCTGTTTAAAACTGGGTCCTTCGCACAAGATAGACCACGTCATGCTGGAATGCCTCATAACCTGTTGCTTCAATGAAAGTCTTTGCAAGACATAGCAAAGGAGGTAAAGATTAGCTTTTGCTGTCTATCATGTCTTGAAGTGTCACACATTGTGTTATTTCCTAGCCTTGGAAACTTTTAAATCACTGAACTTGGTGGTGTGTGTGTTGGGGGGAGGGGGTTGCTAGGTGCAACTCATTTTGGGAAATTAGTTAACCTTACATGCAGAAACCTTTTCAGCTCCTATTATAATGAGATGCATGAGCCTCACATGGTTTCTCCCTCACTCTGAGGTGATATGCAAATTCCTCTTTCAATATTCTATACAAAATGCATGAAGAAGTCGGAGTCACCTTTCTTTGGTCAGGTGTATCTTCACCACTATAGCAATATGCTAGACTCCTTCCTTCTACTTCCCTTTGCCAGTCCTTTTTCGAAATGCCCATCTTCAGGATTCCAAGTACCAGTGCATTTCAGTTAAATGGCATAGGGTGGTGCCTTCTGAGAAATGGGGGGAAAATCCCTAGCATTCTAAGTGTTGGTTAATGAAAGGGGTCTCAGGCTGTCTAGACCGAAAACAATCACTCTGAGCCCTGTGAGATGATGTTCCCACCCTGTTCAGGCCCCAGGGATCTGCTGAAGTAGCATGTATACTCTCCTCCATCTGTTTTATAAACACAGG